CGATCAGAAGACAGTCATCTTCAAAATGTTCTATTGGCTCAGGATGGAATGCAGTGGCGTGCTTTTGTGATCACGGCAATGGACTTTCGGATTTCATAAAAGATGAATTTCTTTACTAGGTATGTGACTATTAGCTTTTAAATAAAATTCTTAGCAAGTCGTACCGCTGCAGCACTGTTGTCATGCCATACGCGTGAAACACCTGCCACTTACCAATCCGATTATCATTCTCATTAGGAGCAGCAGCCTCCTTCCCACACGCTCGACGACTAGAGGCGTGATACCGGAAGAGAGGAACATGACGACGCCGATAATAATGGTAGACTCTGCCCCGCCCAGAGACCCACCGCTGGAAGTGAATATGGTTTGATTGTAGAAAAGGACAGCGTTAATGCCACAAAACTGCTGGGCTGTCACGAGGCCGAGAGAAAGATACAGTGCCCTGATGTTACCCTTCGTAGCTATCAGATCGCTCAGCTTAGATTTATTCTTCATCTCATGTTCCACAGCCTCCTGAAACAACAAAGACGCCATATTTGCACACATGACCTCGGAATGCCACTGGACTCAATCTTGGGATACTGACGCCGAGCTTTGGGACGCCGTTCGTCGCCAAGCTGAAAAGTACACCATATTTGGCGCACATAACCCTAGGAACGCCATCGGACGCTACTTTGGATTACAGACTCCGAGTGTCGAGACGCCGTTCGTCGCGACATCTATAAATAACACCATATTTGACACAAATGAAGCTCGGGATGCCATCGCACACAACATTGGAAAACCGACGCCAAGCGTCGCGACGCAGTTTTTCGAGACGCCTCCAGAAGACGGCATATTTTTTCGAACATGACACTCTGAACGCTATCGGAACCAACTTTAAATACACGCTCCTAGCGTCGCTACGCCATTCGTTGCGATGTCCCCAATAGACGCCTAATGTTACTGAAATTAAGTTCGGGATGCCATTGGACACAATTGGAAAACCGACGCCGTTAGTCGCGACGTATCCAAATGATGCCATATTTGACACAAATTAAGCTCGGGATGGCACCGGATATAAATTTGACAAACCGACGCCGAGCGTCGAGACGCCTTTCGTTGAGACGTCCCCATTAGACACCAAATGCTACTCAAATCAATTTCGGGATGCCATAAGACATTTAATTTGAAAACCGACGCCGAACGTCGCGACGCAGTTCGTCGAAACGCCTCTAGAGGACGGCATATTTGACGCACATGACACTGGAAACGCTATCGAACCCAACATTAAAAACCGACGCCTAGCGTCGGGACGTCTTTCGTCGCGACGTCCCCAATATACGTCATATGTTACTCAAATTAATTTCAGGATATCATCGGACACAATTTGAAAACCGACGCTGTTCGTCGCGACGCCTCCAAAAGACGTCATATTTAACTCACATGAACCTTGGAATGTCATTGTACAGTACGTTGGAAAATCGACGTCGAGCGTCGCTAACCTAACCCAACCGGACACGACCCGACGTAACCTAACCTAACCCAACACGACCATAGCCAACCTAACCCAACCCATTCGACCAAACCTAACCTAACCTAACCTAACCCAACACGATCTGACTTACCTAACGTAACCTAACCCGTCCCAAACCCGATATGTAGAGTTGCTTCAAACTAAAACATTTTAGGGAGTGTTATTATTCTTCAGCACATTAACCACAATATATCAGACACGTGAAAGCGCTAAAATCTATTGATACAGTCCGCTCCATAACACTCTATTTCTGTAATCCCCCCCCCCCCTCCCACGTAAGGAGGTTGTGACGACTACACGGCTGTACAACCCAGAAGACAGCAGCACATTTCCTTTTACTTTTATTATTTTAAAACTACCACCATGTATCTTCGAGAATTAATTTAGTTACAATTAGATTTTTCCATTTGACAAACCAGAACGTCTCATTTGTAAAGTCCCACCTGTATGGCATTTAGTTCCGCTTGGACTTCATCCCGTCTCTGGCGCCTAAGCCATTGCAACGCTTTAGTGGCCTCTTCGCGTTTTCCCTTAGCGAGCAGATAGTAAGGAGACTCAGGAAAGACGAAGAAAGAAACAGCGAACACGATGGGTACACAGGCCGATACTATGGCGAGCTGCATGTAACTGACATAGGGACCAATGCTGTACTCGAAGAGGAATCCAACGACGACGAGCAGCTGGAGGAACGAGCCGAGGGCCCCTCGAATACGGCTCTGTAACAAGGCGTAATAAGATTTGTAAAAATAATTCAGCTTAGGCCCGTATCATTTATGTTCTTTATTTTTTCTACATGGGTAAATCGCCATTCCTGTGTCTTGACGACGCGGAAATGGAAAATCCAAGTATATTTTATACGGATTTAACAAGTCGGTGGCCTCGGAGTAGTTTCACACATCTTCAGACGAACACCCTGACGTAAAAGTACATGACCAGTATCGTAATAAATAAATAACAAGATAATAGTTATCATTAACCTATTATCATTGCCCTAATCAACTTCTCGATTCGCACTCTTGCCTGGACTATGTATTCCTTTTGAATTTCAAGGAACACTTGCGAATGTGCAGGTCATCATTTCCATAGAACCCAATTGTTTAATTTTTATTTTAATATTTTAGCCCCTTTTAGGACTTGCTATTCAAGAGTCTCTTCCCATTAGTAACTCTATAAAACAGAGTTCCTGAAAAGATGATAGTGGCTTTTATTGTCAAGAAATTCTGAGTTTTGTAAAACCGGTAAGTCCATTACCGTGTTCACAAGAGCCCGGCAGAGACCGAATGCTATTCTGTTATCCCGTTGGGTTTTGGATATAATCGTGTACATTTCTTGCTTTCATCTATGTATAGAAAAATTATGTTTATTCACCATGACAATAATTTACGCTGTGTAACAGGGCATTTCGTGTTAAACACACGTTGCATCTCCGTTAATGAGAAGATAATATTTGCAAGATTTAGGCACATATTCCGTCGAGCATTTTGAGAAGCATTTGGGGCAGAGTTCTCGTTCAGAACCAGATGGTCATAATATTTGTGCTCCAAGTGATAGTACGGGAGCGTAAGGCTGTAGACTGACCTCCGATATCTCGCCGACGTACATAGGCGAGACGGCGTACACCATGCCAACGGCGATGCCCAGAATGAACCTGGCTATGTAAATGGGCACGACAGTGCGAACGAAGATGAGCATGATCCAGCTGACAAGCGCAGGGCAGGCGGTGAACAGAAGTGTCCACTTGCGGCCGATCCTATCGGCCATTAAGCCCACAAGAATAGGTCCAATTACTGATCCCGCCGGAGTCAGCGAACCGATCCATGAAGTTTCCTCCGAAGAGAGCAGAATCCATCCCTCGTTCTCTTCACCTGCTTCCAATTTCGGCTGAGCTGGAGACGTCCAACCCAAAGCAGAGCCGGCAATCACAGTAGCCAGGTTCGCTGTTCACAAATGATATCGATAATGGTCTTCAATAAGAGTTTTGTGTGGTTATATCATTATGTCGCTTTGCTCGATTCACCGCTTGACATGTTGATTCTTTACGGACGTATCTTTACATGTTCCATTAATTGTAATCTCTTACTTTAATAATTAAACACAGAGAAAACAAAAGTAAAGTAGCTTCCCACGAGGGACTCTGTTCCGTGGAGTTGGTTCTATTTGTATCATATGTGAAACCATGTTTGTTCACTTTTAATACCATTCGTTGCTGTGTATTGAATTGAAGGCGAAATTCGTAATATTTCATATAAAATTACATTTGTATAACATAACCTTTATTGTTGTATTTACGTCACAAAGCGTTTATTGTTGAATTGAGAGGGGAGGAAATTGTATAGATTGTACCTTATTTTGAGGCAGTCCTACAGTTTTGCTTAAGGGACTGAGAAGAAAAAAATCTAAAACACTATCTCCGAACCGAGGTTAGGACGGTATATTTTGAAGTATTTATTCGGTGATTCCTGCGAATCTAAATTTAAAACGTTTACTAATGTTTTCATTATTTGTAAACGTTATCCGTTACTTCTTATGTCAAAGAGTTTTGTGGTATGGGTAATCCTTGTTATCCTGTCTGTAGATCAGAGAATCCGCTTTGAATAATGAGGAGACATTTTCAAAACCTTACCTGCTGTGGCTGCAAGATATTGAGGGAACACTGATGAAGGCTGCTTGCTGCTCTCCGACATTTTGAATTTCTAACGTCTTCAGACGAAAACTTTGCATTGCCTCAATCTGTCTTTTCCAAGTGAATATAATCAACTACATCTTTAGAAATAGAATTATCGCTGTTTTAATACTTAGGTAACTTTTAATCGTGAACAGACTCTAAACAATGGAATTTCAGGCAGCTTATCTTTTTACTGTGTAAACGTTGATAAACATCTGTTTGAAAGTGCGCTAGTTTATACGTTACAGTTATTCTCGTGGAAACATAAATTGTCCAAGAAAGATTAACAGTGGCGATTTTCTTGCAAGAATTTAGCTACAGTTAACAAATATCGTACCTAACAGTTTTTGGAAAGAGATTATACATCTATCCGTGAAGTTCTCCATAGAAATAAAATGCCCGTAGAATGAAAATCTACACCAAATATGAATCACTAGTAAGGTTTATAATTTATGAACACTTACAATTAGAAAAGTTTAACAATATTTTCTCAAATTTATATTAGTCTCCACATACTTTTATGGCTGAAATGTTAGCGATGAGAGAAATTGATAGATGGAGAGATTAATTCGATGGAGCTGTCTTTCTTAATTAAGCAGGAGGTAGTAGACGTAAACCTCCGCGTATTCTTAACCTTGAGACTGGATGAAGGTGAGTCGGAATTTCTCAGTTTATATCTTACAGTGTATTGAGTTTTAATTTCCCTGTTATTGTTTATGAAGTGTATTATAGATGTTTGTTGATATACGCGTTATCGCATATCCGCGATGTTTTTTCAGTATCATAATGAGCACCATTATCCTATCCGCGGTTAAATTTTAAAGCCCATTCTTTACCTGCATCGAACTTTCTTTCGGCTTATCCCGGAATTTGATACAGATGATAAGCTTACTGGAGCCAGTTTAACTTCAGAATAATGATTGTTACACGTCCCCTGTTTTACAGGACACCATTCTGGGAACGTACCCTAAATACCAGGTTGGTATTTCACTTCGCTGTCATTTTAACTGGCTGAAGAAAATGTTTTCTAGGCATGAATTATTGGGAATTAAGGAATCGGAGATTATTTATTTCCTCGATTTTGTACATTTCGACTAAACCACTGCACGTTGGAGTCAAGCCGATCCAGTAGAAATTTCCCTTCTTTTACCGGCTAGTCTTTCTTGGATTTCTTGCAAGGATATCCCCTTAGTTTCAGGGACTTTATAATAAATAAACAATGTGGCAAGTCCGGAATTCAGTGCGAAAAACCAGAAAGCGCAGTATCTCCCTACATAATCAGTGAAAGTCTGGAAGCTGTTGGTGAGGATGAAGGAAGTTATCCAGCAAAACGAGGCCACTATGGCCCCCACGCTGCCCTTCACGTTGGGGGGTAGCACCTCGGACATGACGATCCAAGGCAGGGGGCCAATGCCCAGGCAGTAGGCGCTGATGTATAAGATGAGGCACAGGAGAGGTAACCAGCTAATAGCGCTCACGTCTTGCTGGAGTTGCTCCTTCAGGAAGAAGTAGAGACCCAGCGCCAGCAGACTCAACATGTCGAAACTGCAGGATACCAGAAGCAGGACGCGTCTGCGGGAATACCACAAGTAATGGACAGTTTTGTACAGTAAGTTGTAAAGACTTATCTTAAAATAGTCTGGTGTCAATACCACACCCAACCTTTGAAGTTTTCATCAGATTCAACTCTAAATAACTTCAGCAACTGACACGACGTCATCAGTTAATATGATTGATCTGAAACCTCTTCCCTAAGTACTGCTAAGGGATTTTAAGTTACGGTTCACATTCTATTCAGCAACGACTTGGCAGCTACAGGATTCTGTACAATGAAATCATGTGAAATGGAAAAGTAGTAGTGGTCTGTTACCGGCCGGCGCGGTCCATAATTGGCATGATGCAGAAGGACATTATAAGCATGACGACGCCGACAATGACGGAGCTTAGACTGGCAGACATGGTGCTGCCGACTGCCTTGAAGATGGTCTCCGTGTAGAACAGTACGACACAGATGCCACCCAGCTGTTGGAATCCGACGAGCCCCGTCGATATCACGAGCGCCTTCACAGATTCAGGGCTTGTCAGCACGTCCTTGAAGGATCCCCTGTTCTTGGCATCCGTCTCCGCGTCTTCCTGTATTGTAAGGAATGTACAGTTAGTACCATGAATCTTGCAAAATATTATTGGACTTGCCTAACATTACGCTATGTGATTTTAGGCGTACTGGTAATATCCGTGAACCTACGCGTAAACTTGAATATCTAATAACGAAACTGGAAGAACGTAAATTGACGTTGCAAGATGCTGATCACTCACCTTCAGCTGTTGAAGCTCGTGGTCCACATTATTGTCTCTTCCCCTGAGCCACTGTAGAGATTTCGCTGCCTCTGCGCTCTTGCCTTTAGAAAGGAGATACTGGGGAGTCTCTGGCATCCAGATGAAGAGAAGAACGAACAGGATGGGGACAGCAAGGCACATGAGGTTCAGAAGCATGTAGTGGCCCGCGGCACCAACCGTGTAAGCGTACAGTATGCCGATGTTGAAACCCACCTGATCAAACCAGATAAAAGTGTTGGTCGAATGTCTATGGAGAGGAAAGGATCGTGGCATTGGTAGCGAAGGCCTGCCTTAAAATGAGGTTGCTGTTTCAACAAATTAGTTTGGATATTCTGAATGTTGTGAGCATCACTAATTGCCCTAATGACACTAAAACTGTTAAACTGTCGCCGTACGACCGTGGCTCGATTTCTGTCAGGGTGTGACTTCTCTCTTTGTCACAACGCCCACTCCGTCTCCCGTCTAATGGGTGCCGGAATTGTCTTCCTCGGATGTAAAGCGACCAGCTCGTGATGCTAAATACTTCGCAAAATCTAGTGTCGAGGTTAAGAATGCGTGAAGCCGTATCTCAATCCCCAAATACTACATCTACTTGGCATGGTGCTTAGTTAAGTACCATGGATAACTTAGCCTTAACTTACGTTACCTGGTGTTTTGCTGCAAGAAACTTGCATCGCATAAACCCCGTTTATATGAGCCCTGTAAGTGCAGGGACTGTAAAATATTGGTACTGACTGAGATTTATTCTGGCACCAATGATTACATATTTTGACGCTTCTAACATCTGGGTCGATCTGATAATTGTTCGTCTCAGATCAACCAAACTGAGGATTTAAGTACTGGCGGTCTGGTACACATCTCATTACATTCACCAGGGTACGTCTGGAGCTACATATCGCGTGATGTAGACTTGACTTGAGACAGCGAAGTCGTTCATCATTCCTTCAATACAAGGTCATCATTATATTGCTTCCTGCCCGAAGTACCACCGTGAAATATTGTACGACGCCCATCAGTCATACGTATGGCATACAAGGCGTCCCCCTAACCTGGAAAAGGGCGCTGAGAGGTCCCCTGACGCATGGCTCCACAATCTCGGCCACGTAAATTGGAATGACGAAAGACACTCCTCCCAAAGTGAGGCCGGACACGAATCTCGCGATGTACAACCAGGTAACCGACGTAGTACAGACGATGAGGATCCAGCTCAAAGTGATCGGCAGAGAGAGTGCCAAAATAGCCAGCTTGCGGCCAACCTTGTTGACCAACATGCCGAATGGAGGGCCACCAAATGCCGCGCCGAGCGACAACAAGGACCCCACCCAAGAGGCTTCTCGATCTGTGACCTTGAAAGGACTGTCATGGCTCTGCAGCATTGGAGCAGCGGGCGAAGTCCAAGTCAGGAGCGTCCCGGCCGAGAACACGATCATGTTGGCTGCAACACGAGAAGATGGCTTGATGAAATACAAAACAAAATTAGTTTTCGTAAGATATCGGTCGAAAAATGTGCCAGGCTACGCGGCGCAACAACCCAGAAGACGACCATCTTCGTTCTCGTCGCTGTGAGAGATACTGAAGTCTCAACTACGTAGCCAAAGTTCAAAATATTATGAATTTTGAGATTCTTGCGGTGGCGATGTTGGTCTTCTGCGTTGTGACGAAGTGTTTATTTCCACGCTGAAAATGGAGGCAGTATGTTCCTCCGAAACGTCAGTATCTACCTATAAGTCTTTTCAGTTTCACAACCGGAAGACAAACATCGAAAAAGTTAAAATCGTTCATTCTCAAATAAAGAAAAACAAATGCTGTAATTGAGCAAGTTAGTTGACATAAATTTTAAGGTTTGTACATCAGCTGATACTTTATTGGAACTCGAGGGAGTGCAGAAGGTTACTGAAGTTTTGTGTTAGAACTTCTGACCTTGTTTGCAGGACTCGCACATTCTTCCTGGTCAAATTTATCGCATGGCCTTGTTTGGCAGACTGCGTCATCACAGGAAGGAAAGAAGAATTTGATACGCATGCCTGTCGATACGGTTTTAAAAACGTTTGGATCTGACGACTCGATCGAATAGTTTTGACTCCTGATTCGTGTTCCAGAAGTCTCGGGCTGAAATATTAACCTTAATAAGTTTTCTGGACACTGTTTTGAGGTGATCATCGTTGTCACCATGAAAATTGTGGATTAGTAGCTTAAAATAGATCTCGATCGCTTCCTTTCAAATCATCACACATGGTCATCCTATTACTGGAGACAAACAATGATAGTAACTGATAAAGTGCTGTCAAATTATCACATAAACAATTAGTGAGATTCCTGGTTCTCACGGCGACAAGTCTGAAGTGGATGTCTTCTGGTTTGTAGCGCCTTGTAATCTGGTAGAAGTTTACCTTCGTTTCAGAGGTCCTTGATGCTTCCATTATCAAACCCTGATGATGGCACTACAAACCAGACGACAACCATCTTCGTATTCATCGCCAGAACCTTAAATCCTACTACGAAGTTGTCCATTATGCAATTTTGTCGAGAAATGTAAACTTACGTAGTTTATGTAGTACACAGTCTACCTTGGACAATTAAGTGTTGTTTCAGTTGGTTGAAAAATTTCCTCTCGCTTTGATATTCATAACCGGATCGACATTAATATATTGTACCTGCCATGGTAGCCATGATCTGTGGCAGTTTGTCTGTCTTCTTGACACCCGGGGGGTCCGGATGTCCTGTTTCCATGCAGTTGTCGTCGCCTTGCAGCTCGTTGACTTGTGGCATTTCCAGCTCCTTCATAGCTGGTTGGTTGCAATCTAATCGAGATCAGAAATTTAACAATAATTCTGATTGGAAATCAGAGAGTGTCTGTTTGACATTTCAAACACAATTAATAGTTTAAACAAGAGATTGTCTTCAGGGTTTGGGGTTCTCACGACGGCGAGTAGGAAGACCGCTCTCTTTTGAGTTGTAGCGCCGTGTAGTCTGGTAGAAGTTTGCCGAAGTTTCAGAGGTCTTAAATGCCTCCATCGACTTGATGATGGAGGATGTAAGAAGCTCTGAAACTTTGGCAGTCATCTACCAGACTACACGGTGTTACAACCCAGACGACAGCCTTTTTCATACTCGCTACCCTGAAAACCTTAAATTCTAATTTATTAGGGGGTTCGTACTCTATGATCCGAAACATAGACTTAGCATATATTTCTTAAAATTACAGTACAATATTTCACTTGGTCTTGTGTTTTAAAGAAGGAATACGAATTGATATTACTGTAACATATGTATCCTAATGCTACTATAAAATTCAGCTGTAGGTAACGGAAAACAGAATGTCTAATTGTAAACTTTGTGATACTGATTACTCAGTAAACTTGTTGTGCTTGCAAATAAATTGTGTAAAGAACGCATGAAAGCAATTTTCTTGCATTTACTTCTAATGCATTGAATAAAACATTTCCTAAATTGTGAAAATTGTAGGTGCGTGATGTGTCCTATAGAGAGGAAAATATTACGTAAAGAACTTACAAATGTTTTTCTTTAAATATTTAATTTTTGATCCAACAGTGAAGCTAGATGAAGTTATAAACTCAGTAACTGTACATTACTTTTATTTAGTTGTTTGTGCATAGGTCTACAGCAGACTCCCGATTGTTAGGTTTGGTTGGGAAATATGTTTTCCCGGAAAATCCGCAAAACGAAAGAAAGTAATTTATTTACATTTTTAAAAATTTCTTAATAACAGAAAAGATGTTATATAAAATGTAATGCAGTACATACTGTTTTTTAAAAAAAAAGATTTTAACGTATAGCAACAACGTTCTGTTTTCATAAACTTCAGGTTTTAGCAGAAGTTGATTTATTTTTACGTTAAATAATGTAATGTTTGCTGTATTCTTTCCTTTTTTAAACTTCCTGATTTCTACAGCTGATTTTATAATTTAATTTTTAAGTCAGTCTGCCCCCGGACAATCGGGTACCTGCTGTGTTTACATCATTTAAGTGTCGTAAGATTTAGCCTCTGAATTTAGTTCCCTTGCTATATCTGTAAATGTTAATGAATAATGAAATATTGTATATAGAAGTGGTAATTATGTTTATCAAATTTCGCATGTATTCATTCCCTTATTTCGCCTTTCGTCTGCAAACGAAGAGTAAACTCTTAAGATCTGCAGATCGCACAGTTTTACACAAAATATTCTGTTCAAGACACCTTAATTTTAGGTACGTTTCTCTTGTACTACATCAGATACTTTTTGAACGTTGTTTCCAGAAATTTTTAGTGTGAAAATTAAGAAATTTATGTCGAAGTTCATGTTTACTTACCAGGCGGATATTTTAATTAGAATAAACAGGAAAGAGCACTTTTCCACATTGATAAAATCCTTGAACTGAACACTAGCTTGTTGTTCTTTCTGCCTGTAGCAATTTTTTATCAAATATTCCCGTTGATTGTGTCTGATGCTGGAGCTTCGCAGCGTCCCTACAGATCACTCAAGATTTGTCCTTCAGACTTCGCTATCACATGACCTCTGAGTTCTGTTTATTTTCTATTCATATCTCTAGTTCCTCATTTGTTCAACTACGCGACATGGCTTCGTTTTGTGTCTTGTTCGTCGTAATTAAACTTGTAAACGATCCCATTGAGAATTGTCATTTAAGGAATTTATTAACTTCCATACTAGAAACTGCTGTTTCAGTGTCGCGTTAATTGTCATTTACAATCCAGTTACAATAATAATGCTCAATATTTGTGGAGAAATAAAAGAAAGGAAGCCAGAAAGAGTACTGACGAGAAATTTAAGTCTACTTCACTAGTCAGTTTTGATATTTTACTTCTCACGGACGAGCAACGAGTGGATTTTATATCTTAATTGCGTCATGTTTGTGTTTTATTGATACAATATTTTTATTTTCCGTCTATACACAAACTTAAAATAATGTTGTTTAAAATTATCTAAAATTATAACATTCTCAGTAGACACTGCATCTTGTTACATTTTTTATATCGATACAAAAAATGTAACAAGATGCAGTGTCTACTGAGAATGTTATAATTTTAGATAATTTTAAACAACATTATTTTAAGTTTGTGTATAGAGTGGATTTGTTAAGTCCATGTATTTATGTCTCTCCGGTTACGTATTACCGCCCTGAGGGTTTGTCGCTGAAATAATTCGGCTCATCTTTGCCAAGAGGTGAGCCTGGTATCGTCATATTTTTGTCATCCGGTTGTATGCGACAACCAGAACTTTATGTGCAAATTCGATTAAGAAATTTAATTTTAAAATGAATTTGTATGGGAACCCGAATCTTTCTTTGAGTAAGTTATCATGATAATTACTGAGGTTCAAATGTTTGCGTGCGTTTCATTATACGAACATAGGCGCCATCTTTTGATTTATTTCCCCAATTTTTGAGTTTTATATTGGTGATAATGCCAGGTTAATGCACCACTTCATAAAGACGTTCGAACGAGCGCGACGAATAATAAACTTGGAAAAACATGGGAAAGAAACGGGTCTCTGGACCGAGATTTGAACCCGGCACCTATGGAATGCGAAGTGGGAGTGCTTAACACTGAGCCGTTACGTTTTGTAAAATTATGAGCCAAAAAGTTTAAATCTTACTCAGGAACATAACATTAATAAAATATATATTAAAAGTTACAGTCACTCACAATTATAATAATAAAATAATATTAAAAGATTTAAAACATCATTTAAATACACTACTAGTTTCGGCTACATTCAGCCATCGACGGGTGTATGCTGTATAAACCTATCACCATTTTACTGATTTATAACGTTATTCATATTTCACTGTCTTCATTCTTGATGGTGTTCTTGTTTTTTACCATTGCTTGTTTTGTTGCACTATCATTAGTCATTTCTGGGTTTACATTTTGTACTTTGTGTTGGCATCATTTTTGTGACCAAGAAGTAATATCACACTCGTAGTAAGTGAACGGAGAAGACTGGACTGCACAGTGTATTTAAATGATGTTTTAAATCTTTTAATATTATTTTATTATTATAATTGTGAGTGACTGAAACTTTTAATATATATTTTAATGTTTTATATTTTATTTACTAGACGATGGATAATATCCAAGAAAATTTTTATTCAAATGACTCATCACCATCGTCAAGAATTTTTAGATTTGATATACAAAAATCTATTAACGATGCGAAATTGAAAAAAATCTAATGTGGAATGTAGCGTCTATTTGGTGCAAGATATAAGTAGGTCTATGTACTGAGCACAGCCTACTCAAAATTAGAAGTGCTTACGGTACAAACTGCTAATTTTGCTATTGTAGGATTTGATGTTTTGACGCCATGTGGCCTTCTAGGTATATACTAATATTTCGAAGAAACACAAAGTCTCCATCTTGAGGGCTGAGCTTAAAATACAATTACTATTTTAATTATGATAAATAATGTGGAATATTCCCTGATAACATGTTATAAACATAGGTACAAATTTAGTCTGACTTGAAACCTTATTTTGTAAGTTATATTAAGCTCTGAAGTTTTGCCTGATAATTTTCAGGTAATGTTGTGCTGACATAAATTGTATAAAAACAAACATTATATTACGTATTTTTTTTAATTATGAATTTGTCTGACTTTTCTGAACAGATTCGATCGAGGATTTCAGAGAAATCAGACGTCACAAATTATTCTCGGAACTTCACAGTACATTGATTAATAAAAACACCAGATTGCAAAGGTCAGATGTAATAATGACTTACTTGTTGCAAAACTTTATTTTGGTTTACTATCTAACCTTTAGCCTTCAGTATGCAAACCATGTCAGACCTACGGAGCACTGGGGTTTCAAATCGCAGGTCTTAACAATCAAACTTTTCTCGGTGTTAACTTCAGCATTTATGTTTGCGTTACTTGCTAATTTATTTTGTTAGTTATGTAATCGGTTGTTGTTTTGAGCTAGCTTGCTGTTAGAAACCATTAACAACTACAAGATGAGGAATTAACATTTCACAAAATACGTGACGCTTCGTCGATTTTAGTGAGAACGGACAGCATTTCGTGTGTGTTCTTAGATCTATTGCTATAATTTATTATTTCTTTTTGTACACTGAATTGTTCTTATTAAATGCCGCGTGTGTATACTCTGTTATATGAAATTTCTTACTACTTTTTCCTCTGTTTACAGAGTCAATTGCTTTTTCGTAATCCACGAAATCTAGATAATCTAAAGTAAAATTTACGTTTTCTTTCTATGATCTTTGTAGCGATTTGAGGGGTGTGCCTGGTGAAATCCACTGTTCGTCCGATAACTTCTGCGTATATTTGTAGCCTGAGTTAAGAAGGCGATGCCTCTGTATTTTTCACATGTTTTGATTCTCTTTTCTCAATATCGATTTCAACGAATTAATTGGAAATCTTAGCATTTTAAGGTAGGAAGTGATTCAGGATTCTGTTCTGAAAGTTTAGACGCCTTTATTGTAGACATAATTACATAGCTGTAGTAACATAAGTGATTAATAAATATTTAAGATTTTATTTGTCGCCATATATTTAAGACTAAGCAAAAATTGGCATTATAAATTTGTATTAATTATATTAAATGTTAACATTATAATAAATACAGGCTGTCACAAAAAGATTTACACACATTTACTGAATTAAACAAGGATATTTGAATAAACTAAATCATTTCGCACTTCAGCACTGGCACTTGGTGAATTAGCGAACCCAGTGTAGGCGTTCAAAATGACCATAGTTAGCTTCGTGGCAGATGACAGCAGTGAGGAATTGAATGACAAGCGGCGACCAAAGTTGCTGCTTGTGTACACATCTTTTTGGGACAACCTGTAGTTTTGCATATTGTTCTGACTGTTACTCCTACCAGTAATGCCCCCATAGCGAGCAGCATCAGTGGAATTTATGTCCTAATTTAATATTCATGGTTTAACACGAAGCAGTATTATTAGTTAGTTTTCGTTTTCTTGTTAGATTTATTTGTGAGATTTATAATGGTCCTATAGATTGTTCTGACTAGAAAACACGCGGCCATTGTAAGTAGCAGCGTCCCGACAGCGAGAACTAGTAACACATCAAGCAGCAGATACTGATGCCAGTAGAGATCGGTGGCTGCAGATCTCAGGTGAGGCGCTCCGTTGTGCCTGATGACGTACTCTGTCCAAAATACTGCTCTGTCTAAGGCCGTCTGGGGTTGATCTTTGAACGTCGCTGAACGTTTCTTCATGTTAATTCTGTAACTGTTAATGCAAACAAGTGAACCATAAGATTTGTTTTCCTGGTGTTTTCGTATGAAGTATACATACATTTCAGGAATTGAAATTTTCATGTCTGTGAAAATGTGGACTGTGTTTTTCTGTGTTATGGCCTTGTATAAGTATAGTATTGTATAAAATTACCTGCGATTAAGAGGGTTCTTTAGGGTTCCGAAGAAACGTTAGCAACTTCCTGCAAGTAGGATTTGAGATTTTCACGGAGGTGGGTACGAAGATGGCTGTCTTCTGGGTTGTAGTCCAGTGTAGTCTGGTTGAAGTTTACCAGCATTTCAGAAGTCCTTGCTGCCTCCATCGCATTGATGGTAGAAGCAGCAAGAAGCTATAAAACGTCGGCAAACGTCTACCAGACTCGCAGTGCAGACAACCACCTTCATACTCGCCACCCTGAGAACCTGACATCTCACTTATGTATTAACTAAATGGTAGCAAGTTGCTGATTTTTTTCTGATTTGTGACGCCGTATGGACATGTACGCAGACACAAATTTTCGGAGAAATTATTATTATCTGAGACAAATTAAGTATGAGTTAATGTTCCTACTGTATTGATTTTCTTTTGTCCAGACACACGGAGTCACAGAGCGACATAAAAAACATGGACATTGAAACCTCGTGTTCAGATACATAAATAATTACCTGTCGTTGTTTAGAACCTCACGCAAAGCCGCGAGAATGTTTTCCTTTGTTATCGACTTGTAGTCAAGCTCTACACCAACGCCTTTGTTGACGAGGTCTCGAAGGTTCAATCTCTGATCAAGAAAGAAAGGAATTCCAACGACAGGGACACCCCTGTAGGAGGCTTCAATGCTGCTCATCTTTCCACAGTGTGAGATGAACACCCGAATGTTAGGGTGGGCTGCAACATTCATTCCAAATAAATAAAAAGAACAAATATTATTTTTAGTAAGAAAGATCTGATCTGCAGTAGAACCTGCTGCTGACCTAGTATGTCGCTCTGGGGGAGCCATTTGCCTGTTCTGACGTTCGGCGGCTGTCCGGGCAGGTTATCTGACTCGAACTTCCACAGAATCCTCTGTGGCAGCTCAGAGAATGCTTCCAGCAGCGCCTGCATCTTTTCATATGACAATGAATCGCTCCGTAGGTTTGAACCGAGGCTAAAGAAGATAAACCCCTCTTTTGCTTCGTCCAAGTATGTCTGTAGATCCTGAAATGTCAGTGGCGAGAAAAATCAGTCAAAATAGTATTGGCTTGGAAGTGCCTCAAAGTACAATTTTTCATTTCATAAAACAATAACTTAGAAAGGTGTCATTTTCTTGTTTTAAAGCATTTAAATTACTTATTTAAATCAGACGATTTCATGAATGTTTAAAATATTGTTCTATATTTTTGGATGCTAAAATGAATGTTATATTAATAAAAGTACCCGCCCCACCTCCAAGTCTTTCTTAAAAAGAACTGTACTCTTAAAATAAAATTGCTTATATATTACGTATGACATTTTTATGAATGTATATTCCCGTTTAAAAAATCCCCAATTAGGATTTAGAAAGGTAAAATCACCTATTTCACACAATAGTGTGGTTTTCGTGCAGCCCGAACGAGTATATTACAAATCAATAATAATCACTTACTTAATATCTGTTACTACGTTATCTGCATACGTGTGTTGTGCCAACTTATAAACTTCATAAACAATGTGGACTTGTAGGTAGATGACAACGTTTCGGAGGAACATGCTGCCTCCATCTTCAGAAATAAAGCTCAGAAGTGGGTTCTCCTGACAACATACATCTGGTTCGGATATTTTTGGTGCAGAGTCCTTCAGAAGTTTATAGTCTCTCAGCTAGTGAAGAACCTATCCAGAGTCTATCGACTCCAAATTGTTTTATAGTGTTTATAAAAGCCCGCCACTGACCACTATCCATATGATATGGAATCTAAGGCTGATATTGGGGTCT